TTCTCAAATTTTTCCCATCATAATAAATTACCCGAACTTCAAACTTATGTAGCACTAGCAAAATTTATTATTTTTTAATCTAACCCGATAAGTTTAAAAGCTCTTGATATGCTTTATTAAAATTATCGGTTAGAATTTTAAAATATTATTTTTTGCTAATGTGACATCTTTTTGAAAATGTCACATTATGACTATAAAATTGGGTTGGTTATAGAGGTACCGCACTGTAGATTCTGGCCTGGAACTTGGAAATAGAGACCGGTAGGTGTTTCTAAAGAGGGAAGCAGGGTTTTTATGTTTTATTTATATAAGAACATTTATTAAAGTTCTTTTACTTCTTTTTTTTTTTAGATTCCGGCCTGGAACTTGGAAATGGAGACCGGTGAGTATTTTAAAGGGAGGAGCGGGGGTTTTTTTTATTTTTTTTATGTAAGAACATTTATTAATGTTCTTTTACTTCTTTTTTTTGTAGATTCCGGCCTGGAACTTAGAAATGGAGATCAGTGAGTATTTTAAAGGGAGGGAAGTGAGTTTTTTTGTTTTTTTTATGTAAGAACATTTATTAACGTTCTTTTACTTCTTTTTTTGTAGATTCTGACCTGGAACTTAGAACTTGAGACCGGTGAGTATTTTAAAGAGGGAAGTAGGTTTTTTGGTTTTTTTATGTAAGAATGTTTATTAACGTTCTTTTACTTCTTTTTTTTTGTAGATTCTGGCCTGGAACTTGGAAATGGAGACCAGTGAGTATTTTAAAGGAGGAGTAGAGTTTTTTTATTTTTTTATGTAAGAATATTTATTAACGTTGAGATCCCCCTATTCCCTCTGTCATCAATTTACAGAGTTACCACGTCGAATAGGCATTCTCATGGTCGAACGAACGAATAATCGAACGAACAAACAAATAAACGAACAAGCAAATAATCAATGGCATAATTAACAAACAACATAATCAACAAATAACATGCAACAACATATAACAACAATATACAACAACATTCTTGGTTCACAACATAAATAGCATTAGTAATATAAAACATCAAGCGACATAAAATTAAATTTAACTTCTCTGAATTTTCCCCAAATTATATCCACTTTACCTTTAATTCCAAACTTTGATAGCTCTTGCTACGAATCATTACTTTTCAAAAGTGTATATTTAATTCATCTTAAAATTTTCATTTTATTCAATTAAAATTAATTAAGCAAACATTAATTAAAGTTTAGGGTGAACCTATTACCTTTAATTAATATTAAACTTCACTAATAATTAATTAAATGAAACTTATATTTTTATTGAGTTATTCCAAACTAACTGTGGATGTAGATCTCGCTTTGAATTCCGCTCTCTATTTAAACAAATTTTATGATACTTTCTATTCTAATATGTACTATCTATATACTATCTTTTATGTTCTTTTTACATATTATCTTTGAACTATCTTTTAATATGCTATCTATATTTTAAATACGCTATCTTTTAATATGCTATCTTTTAATATGCTATTTTAATATGCTATCTTTAATATGCTATCTTTTATGTTCCGTCTTTTAATACACTATCTTTCAATATATTTCTATTTTTAATATGTTGCATGTTATCTTTTATATTCCATCTTTTAATATACTTTCTTTTGATATGTTTCTATCTTTAATATATTATATTCCATCTTTTGTGACTTATATCTTTTCGTATCATCTTTTATATTATCTTTTATCTTTTATATTATCTTTTATCTTCTATATTATCTTTTCATATTATCTTTTATATTATCTTTTATAATATGTTTTATAATATTGTTTTTATGTATTTTCATTATGCGTGTTCCTTTAATCTGATATCCCTCCATTTTATATGATTTACCTTTTGTGCTTATAATTATTCTTTCTGATTGTTCTTATTGTTGAACTCAATAAACTGGTTGCTAAGCCGCAATTGATCGACTCCCTACTCAATCTATTGGTTTCTTGTTAATCATTCAATAAATATTACATCATGTAGATCATTACTCTTCTTAAATGTTTATCCTTTTCAGCTAATCATTTATCCATTCACACTCCTTTTCGGCTAATCATTTATCCATTCATGCTGATTCAAGATTTGTTCGTTCGTACTTAATACTTAACGTTCACATTTGTCCATTTGGTATATTATTTGTTCATGCTAGGTATTCAACTGCTCACAACGTTCATTACTTTTTTTTGTAAATTCTGGCCTAGAACTTGGAAATAAAAACCAGTAGGTGTTTTTAGAGAGAAAGCGGGGTTTTTTATGTTTTTTTTATGTAAGAATATTATTAACGTTCTTTCACTTTTTTTTTTGTAGATTCCAGTCCAGAACTTTGATTTGTATTATTAAGTTCGTTATTGTTGTCTGTGTTTGATTTAGTTTTTGGCGCAGTTGCGCCATTTCAGAAATTATGTTTTATTGTTTTTAATAAATAATAAATAAATAAATTTATTAAAAAATTTTTTTTGATTAAATTTATATTTATAAAACCGGTGTATTTTTTATTAAATTATTATTAGAAAAAAATTTAATTATCAGCCAATCAGAATTGCAAAATTGCGGGTTACTAACTGCAATTCAGCTCCAAAATCCGCAATATTGCAGATTTTGAAAATTATTTGCGGGCCCATCCTTAGCTCTATATAAATATAAAATTATTTAAATATATACAAATATGTTATACTAATTACATACTTATAAAATTCAAATACATATTTTATATAAAATTTTTATATAAATTTGTATAGATTTAAAAATATTTATATATTTTATATAAGTATAAAATTTAAAGTAAAATATATATAATACAAAACTATCTAATTCCATGATTCAAAAATATACCTATATTATACCATCTAATACAAGTAATTTTTTTTGATTTATATAAATTTAGCTATATACTACATATATAAGATATAGTGGATATTTTACATATTGTATTCTCAAAAGTCAAAAGTGTAACATCCTCTATATTTATTCGTACTATTAGTATATGTGTTAAGAATGCAGTGTAATATAGCATAGTGAACATCCCTATTTTATCACAATTTTGATGATCATTTATCAATCATTTATTCAATTTTATCTCTTCGCTATAATTAAATTGATTGGCTTTGGTTGAAAATTTTACATAATAATATGTACTCAAATTTTACAGATAGCTTAATATTCATTTAAATTTACCGCATATTAAATTTTATCAAGATTGCATCATTATTAGGCAACTTTTACTAGTAATAACTTTTTAAATTCTAATAAAATGTGTTTTTCTTTACAATATTTTAAAGACTATTTATAAAAAAATGAACAATATAATTTTTAATGATCAAATTTGTTGTTTAAATAAATAAATCAAAAAAAATTCTTTAAACAGTTCATAAAATTTTGCCAAAATTTTTTCCTGATATTTCTAATATATATTTTAATAATATTCATAAACATTTTTTTAATGATAACTTTTGGTTTATCTAAAATTCTGCTGGTTTATTTTAGCTATTGATTCTTGAATACCTAAATAATATATTTTAAAAATTTCAAGTTTCGCCCATAAATCTATAACTTCGCCCAAAGCTTCAAAATCAGATTAGCAGATAATCAGCAAATGATTGGTAATTATCAAATTATTGGAAATTTTAGTTTAAGGCTAACCTTAGCAATACATTTTTTTTTTGCCATAATACTTTTATAGTATATTTTTCATAAATTAAACTGACAAAAAAAACAATTAGTATAATTTGCCTGAGTATTTATGGCTTTACCCGATGCTTCAAAGTAGAAGTAATATGATATATATATATGATTGATAAATGATCAGCAAGGTGATAAAAGCATATCTGCTATACTGTGTAATACAGTATATTTGACTGACGAAATAGGAACTATATATACAAATATATAAAGATTTTAAAAGACATACAATATTTTAAGATAAAATTATTCTAATAGATGTTTAAAGAAATAAAGTAATAAATAAATTATTTAAAAATACTTTTATATCAGTATAAAATAATTATTATTTTGACCAATTAGATTTTATGTAATCTAGAGAAATTTGAAGTATTGTTATATGAGTTATATCAATTTTATACTGCATTATTTTTTCTTTCATATAATATTATAATATCATTTATAAAAATAAATTTTCTTGTAAGAAAAAATTAAAAATTAAAATCCAGTATATTTGTTAATATTACCATAAGTCCATAATATGTTTAAATAATTCTTATATTTTATTAACTGTTAAAAATATATAATAATAATAGTAGTAAGAAATACTATCTCTTGCTTCTCTTACTTAGATGACACTAATAAAAAAAACATATATTAAATAGTTTTTTTTTATTGTATTTAAAAAATAGGCAATTTCTATTTGTACACGGGGTGTTCAAACACGGATTTCCAAAAAAGTAAATTTTCTATGCTGATCATTAAATGTTGGCCAGAATTAAATTNATAAAATTTTTATATAAATTTGTATAGATTTAAAAATATTTATATATTTTATATAAGTATAAAATTTAAAGTAAAATATATATAATACAAAACTATCTAATTCCATGATTCAAAAATATACCTATATTATACCATCTAATACAAGTAATTTTTTTTGATTTATATAAATTTAGCTATATACTACATATATAAGATATAGTGGATATTTTACATATTGTATTCTCAAAAGTCAAAAGTGTAACATCCTCTATATTTATTCGTACTATTAGTATATGTGTTAAGAATGCAGTGTAATATAGCATAGTGAACATCCCTATTTTATCACAATTTTGATGATCATTTATCAATCATTTATTCAATTTTATCTCTTCGCTATAATTAAATTGATTGGCTTTGGTTGAAAATTTTACATAATAATATGTACTCAAATTTTACAGATAGCTTAATATTCATTTAAATTTACCGCATATTAAATTTTATCAAGATTGCATCATTATTAGGCAACTTTTACTAGTAATAACTTTTTAAATTCTAATAAAATGTGTTTTTCTTTACAATATTTTAAAGACTATTTATAAAAAAATGAACAATATAATTTTTAATGATCAAATTTGTTGTTTAAATAAATAAATCAAAAAAAATTCTTTAAACAGTTCATAAAATTTTGCCAAAATTTTTTCCTGATATTTCTAATATATATTTTAATAATATTCATAAACATTTTTTTAATGATAACTTTTGGTTTATCTAAAATTCTGCTGGTTTATTTTAGCTATTGATTCTTGAATACCTAAATAATATATTTTAAAAATTTCAAGTTTCGCCCATAAATCTATAACTTCGCCCAAAGCTTCAAAATCAGATTAGCAGATAATCAGCAAATGATTGGTAATTATCAAATTATTGGAAATTTTAGTTTAAGGCTAACCTTAGCAATACATTTTTTTTTTGCCATAATACTTTTATAGTATATTTTTCATAAATTAAACTGACAAAAAAAACAATTAGTATAATTTGCCTGAGTATTTATGGCTTTACCCGATGCTTCAAAGTAGAAGTAATATGATATATATATATGATTGATAAATGATCAGCAAGGTGATAAAAGCATATCTGCTATACTGTGTAATACAGTATATTTGACTGACGAAATAGGAACTATATATACAAATATATAAAGATTTTAAAAGACATACAATATTTTAAGATAAAATTATTCTAATAGATGTTTAAAGAAATAAAGTAATAAATAAATTATTTAAAAATACTTTTATATCAGTATAAAATAATTATTATTTTGACCAATTAGATTTTATGTAATCTAGAGAAATTTGAAGTATTGTTATATGAGTTATATCAATTTTATACTGCATTATTTTTTCTTTCATATAATATTATAATATCATTTATAAAAATAAATTTTCTTGTAAGAAAAAATTAAAAATTAAAATCCAGTATATTTGTTAATATTACCATAAGTCCATAATATGTTTAAATAATTCTTATATTTTATTAACTGTTAAAAATATATAATAATAATAGTAGTAAGAAATACTATCTCTTGCTTCTCTTACTTAGATGACACTAATAAAAAAAACATATATT